CATATTTTATAAGATTATATATAGTAGTCACCAAAAAAAACCATATACAAAAGAGTACAGGAAATCTGTCCCCACACTAAAGACCAAAGACTCCAGCTGAGGGCCTGGATCCCACACTAATGTCCTGCATGAGTCTAGCTGAAGACCTAGAGCTCATAGCAGTGCCTCCCACAAGTCCACCTGGAGGCCTAGAGCCCACGACAATGTCTCATGAGGCCTGTTTCACAGACCTGTGCTAGAAAGACCCAAGGTCAGTGGTGGAAGCTAGAAAGTTTGTGCCAGCAGGATGAAGGACCTGTGCTAGCAGGCTGAGGTATCTGCACTGGAGCCAGGAAGCAACGCTCAAGGTAAGCACCAGAGCTCCCCCGAAAAGTACCACAGCTGTCCTCAACAACAGTGAGGTCCCGAGCTCCTCCAGTGATGAGGAAAGCTGAGTTCCCATCAGGAAAGCCAATGGGACAACTTCTCCATGAGGCTGAGCAGTGCACCATCTTTCCCTTTGGATCCAGGAGGTGATGCTCAAGGTGAGGATCAGGGCTTCCTCAAAGTGAACCTCAGCCATCTTCAGTGACAAGGAGGTCCTGAGCTCCTCCCTCCTCTTCTTCTTCTTCTTCCTCCTCTTCCTCCTCCTCCTCCAAGAACAGCCAAGTGCACCAGGAAAGCCAGCATGCCAAGGTCCTACAGCAGAACAGCCCAAGAGAACTACCAGCTTCTAATAGTTTCTCCAAACAGCTTCCCTAACAGCCTCTTAACAGCTTCTCCAGTTCTGCCTCTTATGCTGCTGGCAACAATCCTCAGCTGGGCCCTCACACTCAGCACCACACTGGTTCAGTTCAGCTGGGTGTAACAAGTTGACTGTGAGTTAGCAATCTAGTATAGCACTCATGGGGGAAATGCAAAACTCTCGTGGAAAAAAAGTCAGCTTCACTGATAATCAAAGCTTTATGAATGATCATTTCCAAAATATCATCAAAGAAGCAAAGATTTGTTTAAGTGGTATGATTCAAAGCTGCCAGTTCTGTGGGAAAACACATTCTCATTCACTGTTAGGGAGAGAAAACTGGCACTAATTTACTGCACAGCTCTTTGGCCATAAGCACCCAGAACCCAAAAATGTTCATTTATTTTAATCATCTCCTGGATTTAAACTGTCCCTGTGAGATTGCTAGGCTTAGGAAATAAAAATAAAAGATACTTAAATTTGAATTGCATTTATATAATGAATACATTTTAAAGAATAAGTCTATGCCCTCAAGCAGGTGCAGGGGCTGGGGGGTTTGATTCCTGAACTTGCCTTGCCAGCCCCGCGCCAGGGATGTGCTGATACAGCAATTGAGATTGGGCGTGGTGGCACGTGCCCCTAATCCCAGCACTTGGGAGGCTGTAAACAAGATAATTACTATGAGTCCGATCTAGTAGTGAGAGCCTGAATATTCTGTAGACCCTTCCCTAAAATACAAAATAATAATAATAATAATAAGTCTATTTCATGCAATATTTTGAATATTCTTATACTAAAAATTTATCCATTGTTCATTTGAAATTCAAATGTAGCAGGGCATCCTCATCCTGTATTTTATCTGGAAACCTTTGCCTGTGGGAATAATCTAAAAGCAGTAAAGATTTATGCATGAATCTTTGTTGCAATTTCATTTTTAATAACAGAAATATTGGACGGCAAAAGAACATAAATCATACAATGCTCCTCTCAGTTGACAATGGAATTAAATAGAAATCAATAGCAGAAAGATAGCTGGAAAATTTCCAAATACTTGGAGATGAAGCCTCATGCTTGTAAGTAAGACATGTGTCAAAGAAGAAATCTCAAGAGAAATTAAATGATATTTTGAACTAAATGAAAATGAAAAACAACTTTCAAGATTTGTGGAATGAAAGTAATTGAATTCTTGAAAAAAACACAGTCAGGCAGAACTCACATAAGAAACAGATAAACCGAATAGGCCTATAACTACTCAATAAATTGAACCAATAATTAATAACCTTTCCAAAGAGAAGGAACCAGGCCCAGATGTCTATTTTATTTTTTAGTAAATTCTACCAAATATATATATTTTTAATTTTATTTATTTATGTGTGTGTGTGTGTGGAGGGCCAGCTCAGCCCACCAGGGGGCGGGGCTGGCTGCCATGTGGTGCTGGGGGACCGAACCGTGGTCCCTGTGCTCTGCCAAGCCTGCTCCAAGTAGGTGCTCCAGACCACTGAGCCATCCCACCAGCCCTACCAAATATTTAAGGAAGAAATTACATCAGTTCTCTGCAGTCTTTTTTTTTTTTTTTTTTTTGCAGATGACACGATTGTCTGCACAGAACATCGAGTCAATAAAAATTCCTGGAACTCATAAGTGATTACAGCAGGGTTGCAGGAAACAAGACTAATATAAAAATTTCAACTGTTCTCTCACGCACCAGCAGTGAACAAATGTGTGAAATTTGACCCCTTAGCACAGGGCTGACATGTAGTACACATGCAACACATAGTAGGTACACATGCAGTACATAGTAGGTGTGAGTCTAGTCATTATTATTACCCCAGCTTTCTGCACATCTTTATTATCTTTTATCTGAATGGTGCTTTGGGCTTCATAGCCTCCCTCCTCTTCTCAAATCTCTCTTCCAAATAGCAACCAGGATGAGCTCAGTAGAATGCAAATGTAACCATTATCAGTATCCTGCTTAAAGTTTTTGAAGAATCATTCACTGCCTACAGTGTAAAGTCTATCAACACAATAGAAAAGGTCCCAAAGCTCAAGATCCTGTTTCTCATCCTTTCTCCCCATTTCAATTTTGTGGTCAGAGATGCACTGCGTGAGTCCCACCTTGCCTGCCCATTGCAAGTGCTCGCCCCAGCGCACACACAGAGCACAGCTCCTTGCTACTCAGTGCTACTTCTTTCTTCCCCATAGTTTCCTAATCGTGAATACTCCAACCCACCCTTTGGGAACTCTTCTTCATTAACAGTCAGCTGCTCACCTCCACCAAGAGTGGGTGCTAGGTCTCCCTTCTCTAGGAAGGCTACATCCTTGCGTCTACAACATTGTATTTTGAGAATCTGTTCTGTTCCTGTTGGGCCTATCAGAGCAGAAGTTTTTTGGACCAGGAGTTTTGGTTTCTTTGAATACCCAACACCTGAAAAGGTTCCTGGCTGCCAGTAGGTGTACAATAAATGCTTGTTGTATGAACTACCTCATAATGGCTTTGCGCTAAGCAGATGCTTGAAAATCAGCTACCAGTCTGCCCACTTAATAGATGAGGAAACTGGGGCTCAGAAAGATGAAGGTGCCTGCTCAGGGTTGAGGACCTATTTCGGCATTATCCTGAAAGTGCCTGGATAGCATTCTGTTGAGGGGCATGTTGAGCAGGTCAGTCATACATAATTCAGGGATGGGCTTACAGAAAATACTAGGGGAATCATTACTAGCCACTTCCAAAGCCATGAAAGCTGGCTCTGCCACCTTCCCCAAGGCCGTGGGGAGGCCAAATGGAAGGGCCTTTCTCGGTCTCCATCTTCCTCCAAGACTCTGGGGCACTGTCCTGTTTTCTCTCTTTACCTTCAAGTCAGTGCCTTTCTCTGTCTTATCAGCCTTCTAATTTTATTCACAGAGAGTCACTCAATCTGGCTGTTCATTTCTGTGGCTGATGTACTCCTTCAGAACCCTGGCCCTCTGCTGGTCCTGTGGCAGCGATAACCCCTGATAGCTGTCTGTGACTGTAATAAAATACACAAATGATCAACTTATAACAAGGAAAGAGCTGTTTTGGCTCATGGTTTCTCTGGCCCCAAAAGTTTCAGCACCTGGCTGTTTGGCCCTCTGCTGCTGGTCCCATAGCAAGGCAGTCAGCCATGGCAGGACTATTTGATGGAGCAAGGCTGCTCCGTCATGCTGACTGGGAAGCAGAGGGGGTGGGGCAGGGTCCCTGTTATGCTTCAGATGTAAAATGGTCCCTAAATGCCTCCTGTGTTCAGAGGTGGGGCTTTTGGAATTGAATCATGGGGATGCTCTTCTCATCAGAGGATTAACTACACCCATCTCTGGGTGAGTTCAGAGCAGAATGTGCTGTCAGAAGTAGGGCCTTGCTGGAAGAGGGGGGTCAGTGGTGGCAAGACCTGGACGGTGTATGCTTGTCCCTGGCTCCTCCCTTCTCTTTACTTTTTGGCTGACTTGGTTGGAACAGCTTTCCTCCCTATACCATCCTGCCAGATGGTTCTAGCGTATTCTTTCTGCCTTGGAGCCAGCCAACCCTTGACTGAACCCTCTGAAGCAGTGAGGTAATCTCTCCTCCTTTAATTTGGGAGCACTGGATATTTTGTCCTTATAGTGGGAAAGCAATACATACAGTCCCAGCATCTTCTTCAAGGGCCAATTACCCCCAGTGACCTACTTCCTCCAGCGTGGCCCAATTCTGAAAGGTTCTATTCTCCCAGGAGCACTATGCATGAAGGACCCAGCTTGCAATACACAGGCCCTGAGGGACACTCAAATTCTAAATTATAGTAAGCACACCGTGCCCCCCTCAAATGTGGGTGGGGCTATGGGACTGAGTCCTGGCCTATGCAACTCTTGGCTTAGTAAAACCTCCTGTGGGATCTTTTGTGATAGGCAGCTGTTAAATCCAGGACAACCCCCAAGACCACACCCTTCTAACTCACTAGAACTATCCAGAAGCAGAGCCTTCCCTCATCCCTGTGTCACATTAGCTTTAGGTAAGTAAGAAATCAACTTCTGCTCTGTGATGTTACTGAGAAGTGGGCTTGCTACGGCAGCTCACCTCACCTTCCCTAACTCAGACTCCCTTCCGACCTCTCCTAAAGCAAACTTTCAAGTACACCGATTGCCCAGTGAACCTTCCTCGCATCTACCTGAGGTGCGGACACAGTATTCTCCTCAGTGCTGGCGTGGCTCTCTTTCACCGACAAACTCAAGGACATGCTTTTGGCAGAGATGTGAGAGCTGGGGCTCCAAGCTCCTTCCTACCCCTCACTTTCACATTCTTGTACCCCTGTCCAATCTGGGGACTTGAGGTCCCGCAAGGGCATCCTGCCCACTGTGTCTCAGCTTCTTGTTTTCTCTCTGTCTCTCTGTCCTTTAAGATCCAGCTCAAATCTTTCTTCCTTTTAGAAGAAAGACTTGACGTCTTCCAGGTCCTCCAGGATATAGAATGGCTCCTGAGTGCTCACTGCCCTCAGCTTGGGTGGCATCAGTTGTGGCACTGCTCTGCAATGACACACTTGCATGCTCAGCACCCCCTCCCCCAAGAGACTCAGCTCCGAGCTCAAGCGTGGGTCTCACCTGTCCCTTCCTAGGCCAGGTCCATCCCTTCCTGCTGTCCCGCAGTCCTCAAGTTTTCTTCCCTGAGTGTGAGGCCAGGGGACTGCAGAGCGTTTAAACCAGCTCATCTGTCTCCCTGCCAGCCACCCGGAGGGCTGCCTGTGTGACCTTTCAATCTGTGGATTCAGGGCTCTCTCTCCCTCTTTTTTCCTTCTCTTTAAACACAAGGTCCTGGAGCTCACTTGGGGGCCCGGCCTGGCTGGAAGGAAGCTGGCTGCTCAGTTATACTTAGCTAGCAGAGACATCAATCTAACGCTCTTTAAAAATAAAAAGTCCTGTTTCAGCGGGCTCCCCAAGCCCGTCCCCACCCACTCCAAACAAGGCGCTCATTTGCCTCCTCTGGGCCCCCAGTCTCCAGCCCAGAGCCTTCACATGGCTGACACATGTGTCTGTTAGGACACCCGCTCACAGTTACCTCCCTGCCCAGGCACACAGGGCTCTCTCCGCTCCCAGGCCTTCCTTCTCTGCGCTTTTTTCTCCTCCTTGTCCCAGGGACCTGGAGACTTCTCTGAGGCCGCTTCCCTCCCCAAGCACCTAACCCGGTACTGGAGAAGACAGTGGTTCCTCCGAAGTTTCAGGCCTTTTCCTTCTCCTTCTGTACAAAGATCGTAGCTGGAGGAGTTGCAAATGGAGACAAAGACCAAAGTCGGAAGTGGGAAGCAGGGCTCGAAGCTGTGCTAGGGCGTGCAGTGTCCGTGCGTATGGGTGCGCGTGCATGCGTGCGCGACATGCTGAGAGGGCCTGAGCAGAGAGGCACGCGGGAGGCTGGGGCCAACCCTTCTGCTCCTTCCCTTGGCTCCCACAGCCCTGGTTCTTTTCCATCCACTGATGAAACACTTCTTTATGTCTTATTCACATCCTGTCTTGACTACCACAATTGTCTCCTTGCCGGGCCCACATGTCTCTCATCACCAATGGGATCCAAATGTTACTGACAAAATAATCTCACTGCCTTTGTGCTGCAATTACATTCCTCCACTTTGCAAATTCTTCTTCGTCTCCCCAAGGCTGGGGGACTCACACACGCAGACCACCATCCCGCCCCGCTTCCGCGCCCCTCCCCCTCCGCGCCTTCTCCTCGCCAGCTTGTTCTCGTCCACTCTTCCAGGCCAGCTCCATCCGCCTGGCACCAGCTCCGACGCTCTTGCCTCAGCCAGCAAATGTGTAGGAAGAGTGACAGGCGTCTTCTGGCTCTGGAGCGGCAGCAAGAACCCAAGCTGCGGACAGCAGTCAGTGCGGGCCGAGGATAACAGGATGCCGGGGATTAGTAGCGCGCAGAAGACAAAGCAGAGGAGGGTCTGGTGAGCAGCCCTTCCCCAGGGAGGTCTAGGAAGGCCCTCTTGGAGTGGCGAACAGGCTCCCCACCATTCTTTCACTTGGGGCTCAAGACCTTTGTTATGTTTAGCTGGATCGTCGATGGGGAGCCACTGAGCACAGCCCTGCTTCGACAGGAGATGGCTAAAACTAACTCAACTCTTTCCCTTCTTCCCGTCCAAAACCTGAGCGCGCGCACAGGTACGGCGTTGCTAAGCGCACTCTGCCTGGCATCCTGTCAACCTCTGAGCTGAGTCTTATTCATGGAACCAGAGATCCCGGCAGCAGTGACCACTGCCGACTTTGTGTGTGCACGGGGTCTCCTCTGCCTCCGAATGGTAGCTGAGCGCACGGCACAGAGGCTCCGCGGCTCGGTGATGACGGAGCACCATCTTTGCTTCGAATCAGTCGAAAAGTACAAGCACTCCGTGATGTACACTCCAGTTAATAGTTGTATTAGGCGCGTAAAAATCGCTACCACTTTAAGACAATGTTTGTGTGTTTATCTTCCCTGGGAGGAAAGCGAGGGGCGTAGCAAGGTGAAGTCCAGGTCCCAGTTTGGATTGGGAACAGGGCTGTGAATGGAGTATCTTCTCAGGGGGGTTTTCTCTGGCTGGGGTGGCCCCCGAGGGTATAGGGTGTGCCCTGTGATCTAACCTGGAGCTGCCGGTTCTGTTCCATAGCTTCCAGCCACGGTAGTTAATGGGCACTGGAAATGTGGCCAATCTGAATTGATAGGTGGCTATACCATACACTCCAGGTGTTGAAGATTAAGTATGAAAAACGAATGAAGGGCCAGGGAGATAGCTCAGTAGAATAAGCGCTTGCCTGGCAAGTGCAGGGGCCTGAGTTCAATCCCCGGTACCAGGAAAAAAAAAAGTAAGAAAGAAAAAAAAGAAAGAAAGAAAGAAAGAAAGAAAAGAAAGAATATGAAATAGCTCCCAAATCGATTATTTTTATATTGGTTTCATGTTGAAATGATATTTTGGGGGTCAATGAAAATGTCTGACTATATTGAGTAAACAAATGTGACATAAATAATAATGAGTTAGAAACAAGTTGTATTCTGAAAGTTAGTTTTTCCAGGAATGTTAATCCCAGCACTTGGGAAGCTGAGGCAGGAGGATCACTGCAAGTCTGAAGCCAACTTGGGCTACAAAGTTGAGTTTAAGGCCAGCCTGGACTGCATAGTGAGATCCTGTCTTGAAAAAGCAAAACAAAAAAAAGTAAATTTCACTTGTTATGTTTACCTTTTTTAGTGTGGCTATTAGAAAACGTCACCAGGAGTGGTAGTGCATGCCTGTAATCCCAGCACTAAGGAGGCAGAAGCAGGAGGACTGATGACTTCTAGGCCAGCTGGAACTACACAGAGAGACACTGTCTCAGAAACCTAAAAGTCAAGCAACAAAACAAACCAAACAAACAAACAAA